AGAAGGAACCATGCTTTTGGAGGTTTTACCTCTTCTGGTTATTTCTAAGGAGTGGGAGAGAAGAGATCAGATCTCCTTCACACCTCAGGTAGCAAAGTGGGTGATTGTGGATTTGCTTCAAGTTTTCATGGTGGCTCCCCCCACCCCCCAACCCCGATCCTCAGCTGTAGGTGACATTTTGGTCTCCACACTGCAAATCTTCACCTGCTCTGTCATCTCTGAATTTAGGTTGCACTTTCTGGTATCAGCCCAGTGATCTTCTCTTTCTCTTTCTTGCCTTTGCACCTCTTTGCTCACTCACTTCCTGACAAAATAAAACTAATTTTCATTCTGAAACTCTATTTAACCCTCTTCACTATTGCCAGTAATTCAAAACCAATAATTCCCCAGATGGCTTAAATTCAAGGAACTTTATTAAATGTTCAGGTTACTATAATGATTTTCTTTGAGAAATTTGAAAGAAGCCTTCTCACCATGCTTTTGCACTTCGAACTGGTAATTCAGAGCGTCTTCCACCGGGTTTGCAAACCCTCAGTCTCTTCCAGTGCTATCTATGGTGATCACAACTGTCAGTGGGTTTCCTGGCAGTGAACTCAACAACCCAAAACACCCTGCATTGTGGAGGCCCCGGGAAATGTTAAAAATAGCTACTTGGGGGAAAGGTTTAAGTTTTGGGCAGAATGGGGATAAAGATTTTGATTGAAAATGTGTCACTATGTTTTTAAATCTGTACACACAAAATACATGAAATTTGTAGACATTAAATAACATGTAAAAGAATGAAAGGAAATTAGCCCTGTCCTTAAGCTATTGCCACCATAGCTGCAGAACTTCTGACTGGGTGAGATTTCAGTCACATGAAGATGTTTTTGTACTGTATGTGTGAACAGACCACTTGCTATGGACATTTAGTTGTGCTAAGTCCACTGTAGCTTTCAGCATGCTACCTGAATCTGCTCTCCTCTTTAGACTTTAATTCTGGTTCTAGATTAGCTAGATGCCTGTTACGTTTTTAAGAATTCACATTGCAGGGCCACCGCTGTAACGAAGTAGGTTAATCCTCTGCCTGTGCCGCCGGCATCCCATATGGGCGCCGGTTCTAGTCCCGGCTGCTTCTCCTCTGAGCCAGCTCTCTGCTATGGCCTAGGAAAGCAGTAGAAGATGGCCCAAATGTTTGGGGCCCTGTATCCCAGCAGGAGACCCAGAAGAAGCTCCTGGCTTCGGATTGGCACAGCTCTGACTGTTGCAGCCATTTGGAGAGTGAGCCAGCAGATGGAAGACCTTTCTCTCTGTCTCTCCCTCTCACTGTCTATAACTCTAATTCTCAGATAAATAAATAAAATCTCTCTTAGAAAAAGAATTCACATATGGAGGACTGGACAAGCAGAAATTCAAATGTATACAAAAGTTCTCAAAGTAATAACAAACCCCAACCTGAAACATGCATTGCATTCCCCTACTTTGAGGAGTACAAAATCATTTAGAACAAAAACAAATAGGGAAAAAATATTTTCATCATTTATTTTAAAATAATTTTGCATAAAATTATTTTAGTTGATTTTTGCAGTACCCTTGAGAAGTGAATTTGATGTTTTAGCAGTTTCTTTGTTTGACCAGAGTTAAATTTTCAGTCAATGAAGTAAATGACAACCCTAAGGTCACGGAGCTATAAGTAGCAGAGATGGACATAAATATATATGTTCTTTTATTATTATTATTCATTTATTGGAAAGGCAGAGTCACAGAGAGTCAGTGGCAGAGACAGAGATAGAGAGAGGTCTTCCATTCGCTGGTTCACTCCCCAATTGGCTGCAACAGCTGGAGCTGCGCCGATCCGAAGCCAGGAGCCAGGAGCTTCTTCCGGGTCTCCCACACAGGTGCAGGGGCTTAAACACTTGGGGCATCCTCTGCTGCTCTCATAGGTCACAGCTATCCACAGAGAGCTGGATCTAAAGTAGAGCAATTGGGACTCAAACCGGTGCCCATATGGGCTGCCAGCACTGCAGTCGGTGGCTTCACCCACTATGCCACAGTGCTGGCCACAATATATATGTTCTTGAATCAAAACCCTGTGCTCTTACCATTGTATAAAATTGACATTTTATGAACCAAAACGAAACTGGACTTTAAAGAAATGATAGTAATAACAAAATAGAATAAATATTAATATTATATTAAATAGTAAATCCTCCACAAGCCAGAAAATCAAAACAGGAACATTAGTTTTTTAAAAAGACTGACTTCAGCATGGACCTGGATGATTTTCTTTCCATGAATTTGAGCATTACAGTGTACAAAAAAATAAAGAATGGTCATAGCCTTTTTATATAGGTTGGAGAAAAGATGCAATCATGTTCCTTTGGCCTTTGGAGGAGGCAGAGAAAGAAATTGCATTTTTCACAAGGCTAGCAAAACTGCTGAAAATGGATGAGTCACCGAGTTTGATAAGATCCATGACTGGGATCATAATTTGCAGTGATTCATCTGTGATTTCTTTCCCCTTCCAAAATAAGGTCTGAAACAAAACCAAAGCTTGAGGAAAAAGATAACAACTGGCATTTTTATCTCTTTTGTGTGTTCGTATGTGTGTGAAATGGAACTTATGATAGATTTAGAATACATCTGATTCTGCCACAGTAAGCGATCTTAATGATCATCTGGTCCACCCCCTCACTGCCCTTCCTGCCCTTCCCCCAAATTCTGGGGCTGAAGAGAATGAGGCCTTGGGGATGGTCCTTCATAGTTCATGTCAAAATCCAGTGCCTGTTCTGTCACATTGATGGTTCTTGGGACACAGCATTCCTTATTCCTGGCTTATTTCAGGAAGTAGGGAAAAGTCATAGCTGTTTCCTTATACCCTTCTCAGGTGCCAGAGCGTTCCTTTGCCAAATGTTATTAGTCACGTTTCTTTTTCTTGAACTGGTATGTAATTCAGCATCTTAGTTTATAGCTAAATGTGCAGTGTCCAGATCCTATGCAAGGTGGCATCTCATGCCTTTTCTCTTTTTTTCTGGTGCCTACGTTGCTCAGTAAAACTAAAACTCACATCCTCATGTGAAACTACAATCTCTAGGCATTTAACTCTATATGATTGTAAGATCTATTTTGCAGGGTTCCCTCATTGTTAAATTTGTAGGTGAAATTTAGTTCTGAATTGAGAAGTTTAGAAAAGAATTTATAAATATTGGAAGAAAAAAATGATACAGCCATTTTTTTTTAAAAAAAGGCAGAGTGATAGAGAGAGACACAGAGAGATCTTTCATCTTCTGGTTCTCTCCAAATGGCTTCAATAGCCATGACTGGGCCAAATCGAAGCCAGGAGCAAGGAGCTCCCTCTTGGTCTCCCACATGGGTGGCAGGGACCGAAGTACCTGGGCCATCATCCACTGCTTTCCCAGGGACTTTCACTGGCAAACGGATTGGAAGCAGAGTATCTAGGACTCTGACTGGTACTCTGATATGGAATGCAGGCATTGAAAAAGCAGCTGGGACTCGAACCGGTGCCCAAATGGGATACCGGCACTGCAGGCAGTGGCTTAACCTGCTGCACCACTAGGCAAGCCCCTTGCCTTTTTTCCTGATTACCATTTAGATACCATTTAGCCAAAGAGAAAGAGAAATCATTCTGACTATTGACAATTCTTGCTTCAGGAAACTTTCTCAAATGAACTCTGGTGAGATTCATGAGTCACACAGATCAGTCACATTCCTGAGCAGGATGTTACCGGCTTTCCTCGTGTTTGGAGATGTTGCTTTAGATAGAGGCAAATCGCAACAGATACTGAAGAATGGTAGACATTGTTGGACTTGTGTGTGTATGTGACCATTATTTGTTCACAGTTCAATAATATGGAGGATAAGAGGAAGCAAGACAGTGAGCAATAAAAATATATATTTTTTTTACTTCTTTTCCCCTTCTCATTCAATTTTTGACATTTTAGAACAAAACTTCTTTGTAATCAGAGGTCATGCCTTCCTAGATATTTTATTCAACCGTTTGAGTTTCCAACAGCCAACAATGACAATAACATATTATTAAAAATTACTTCTATGTAGCTTTGCAACAAAGACAGTTTCCAGCTTCGGATTTCAATTGGTTAAATTTTGAACCTGTGTTTCAAGCTGTCAATATTTACCCTGAGTAACTCTCACTCAAGTTTTAAAAATCTTTCTCTTCTGGCCCATGTGGAAAGGATTAGGGTAATGTTAAATTATTATGGGAAATGGAACTGAGTATGGGCAGTGAATATTAATTCGCTGCTCCCAATCTCTTTCTGTTTTGGATCCCAGTATCTTCGTGATAAGCGGGTCTTTACTGTCTCGAGGGGTTGGCAGGTAATGAAATATAAAAGCAGAGAAAATGGGCATTGGTGAATGCGATGCATCTTTGGGACAAACAACAGAAGACAAATTTGCAAGGATAAAATATGGGCTCACAAATGAACTCAGGAGGCTTGTGGCGATCTGTTCCCAATCACAGTGTGCACTCAGCCATGGCCTCAGCACTTCAGTATTTCTAAAATAATAACATGGAGAGTAAATAATTTGTCCTGCAATGCCCAGGGTGGGAGGCAGTATTCGGTAATGGACTGTGGTAGCGAATGTTTTGGACCTACTTGCCTCCCCAGCATTGGGCCCCAGACTGAAACCTCAATGTTTGAGTGGCAGAAGCAGTAATATTTAATCAGGGTCTCAGCAAAGAAGGAAAAGCACACTGAAAGGAACCCTTAAAAAAGACAGACAGACAGACAGACAGACAGAAAGAAGCCCTTTCCTGATATACAGACAATGTTAAAGGAAACTGAGGACTGGTGATACTGGGGAGATACTGCCAGCCTTGGTTCTTAGGGGATAAGCGGAGGAAGTGGTTGATGGAGGCCAGACAGAGCCCCTATGATGGAAGACATGTACATGAGAGGAAGGGTGGTTTTGCAGAAAGGGATGCAACCCATTTCTGAGTCACAAGTCAAGGGGCTTCAATCTCCTCTTCTTCCCTCCAGTATCCCAGTGGTGCCTACTGTTGGTCAAATGAGCTGGAAACCGGAGGACAAGGGGATCAGTTGACGCGGCACACACAGGTCAGTTTGCTGGGACACTGGTCAGGTAGGAGGGGCTGCAAAGTACCTCTGGGGGCAAAGGTAGTATGTTGAGACCAACTCTAGATAACTCCAGGCTTCTCTGGAGGAGATGATGAGGTATGCAGGCTGAGTGCTTCGACAGCAAGGATCCTTTGAAGCTCCAAGTTATGGAGGGGCAGGGGCTTCCATTTCTTGTAATGGAGCTGGGGGAACTGGATCTGTGAATCTCCAATTCATTCAGTGGCCTCCTTCTCAGGTAACATGTACCCAGGCTAAAATAGTGCTGAGGCAGGCATGTTGATTCAGAAAGGTCTCCAAATTTTAACATTACATATTCTACTAATCTTTATTGCCACAAATCCTAAATCCTATTATGACAAAGAATAAGCCAACTTATAACCAAAACGTTTCCATATTCACCAATATTCTGCAGAATATGAAGTTTGTATGGCAAATTTTAGGTTAAAAATGTATAGCATTATTGAGAGTCAATTTTACTAGTGTACCTTAAAAACACAAATGAAACTAATAATGAAATTAGTAGTTAAAATTGTTATAATGCTGCTGAGGATCTTTATCACTCTGATACTGAAACTCAAAGATAGTAGATGAAGCATAGAAGTTGTATTAATAATAATGAATTTTTATTGCTAAACTAAATTTAACAAACAAAAGTAACAATTATATGATACACGAATTGTAGCCATTAAGACAGGACATGAATAAAGTAATGTAGTGTCTACTCAAGAAACCATTAAGTATCATTAATATTTTAATATATCGCATAAAATACTCATCCAAATATTTGAAATATTTCTGATAGATTAACCAAACATTTATAGTAACAATTACTTTCCATTCCTAACAATTAAAATGAAATTTAAATGATTAGGTTTCTTGGTTAGCATTAGTATTTACTCCTAAGTGCCTGGGTGAATTTGTTGTTAAATTAAAGATGGAAGTCACATATCCCTAGGTATAAATATTTTATATCTGTTTTATCAACTAAAGTACAAACTAAACTTAGTTCAGAACAGCACTAGTAAAGAGATGATTCGCGCAATGCTGTTAAACACCTACAGTGATTTTGTAGGAGGAGTCTTCAAAACATTTATGGAAAATACATATTATGAAAAAACTATTGAAGATTTCAAGTATTAGGCATTAAAATGAACTCATACTAACTTACTATGACATGTCCAAAGAGGTCTAGTTTGAGGCGCTAAGGAAGGTAAGGCATCTGTTTGAAAAGAGCCCGTCAGAGCAACGTATTGCTACAAATGTTGAAGCAAGAACAAACATCAGAAATTGATGGTATGGTGCAAGCATTTTGGTGCAGCAAGATAATTGCTGCCTGTGATGACTGCATCCCATAATGGGCGCCCGTGTGAAATCTGGCTGCTCTGCTTCCAATCCAGCTCCCTGCTAATGTGCCTGGGAAAGCAGCTGAACATGGCCCAAGTGCTTCAGCTTGACCCAGCCCCTGCCCTTGTGGCCATTTGAGTAGTGAACCAGCAGACAGAAGATCTCTCTTTCTCCCCTCTCCTTCCTTGTCTCTGTCACTCTGTCTTTCAGTAAGTAAAATAAATATTTAAAGAAAACAAACGCTAGTGGTGAGGGTTGAGTTGTGATATCACTGATGTTTTCCAAAAGCTTTATTGTACTGTGCCCCAAAGAAATCAGCAGTTTATGAATGAACAACTCATGTCAAGAAGGGACAAGATGATGTTGAAGATGAAGTCCACAGCAGAATCAATTTTCATCAAAAACTTAATCTTATTCATGCCCTAATTGAAGAAGATGAATATTTAACAGCAGAAACAATATAATAGACATCTCAGTTGATTCAGTTTACATAATTCTGACTGTAAAATAGTAAAGCAAACTTTCCACATGATAGATGCCAAAACTATTGCACCCAGATCCGTTGCCGACAAGAGTAGAACTTTTAATGGAAATTTTAACAAGTGGGATAAATATCCTGATGCATTTCTTTGTAAAATTGTGACAGGAGATGAAACATGGCTGTACAGTACAATCCTGAAAACAAGGCACCGCCAAAGCAATGGCTTCCAAGAGGTGAAAGTGGTCCAATCAAAGCAAAAGTAGACCATTCCAGAGCAAAGGTCTTCGTAACAGTGTTTCTCAATGCCCACGGCATTTATTTGGTTTGTTGACTTTCTGAAGGGCCACACAATGATAACTTTAGTGTATTAGGAGACTGTTCAGAGAAAGTTAGCCAAAACTTTGGGAGAAAAACAGCGCGGAAAGCTTCCTTAGAGTTCTTCATCACAGAGACAGTGCTCCTGTTCATTTCTTTCATCAAAAAGGTCAGGACTGGGTGTTTGGCACAGTGAGCAAGATGCTCCTTGGCATAAACAAGACTAGTGTCTGCAAATACTAGCTGATAGAATAAAAAAAGGGAGAGAACGATCCAACATGGGAAGCAAGATACACAGCAGACTCATAGAATGGCAGATGTCCTAAACAGCACTCTGGCCTCAGAATCAGCCCTTAAAGCATGCGGATCCGGCTGAAAAGCCCATGAGAGTATTTCAGGCATGGAAAGCCAAGACACTCTGTCAAAAAAAAAAAAAAAATGACCTAAATGAAAGATCTCCACGAGTGAGATCCCAGTGGAAAGAACAGGTCATCAAAGAAGGAGATACCTTTCTCTGAAGGGAGGAGAGAACTTCCACTTTTACTATGACCTTGTCTAAATATGATCAGAGTCGGTGAGCTCAAAAGGTTTCCATAGCCTTGGCAACTCATGACAAGAGCCTAGGGTGATTACTGATGCCATAAACAAGAGTGTCAATTTGTTAAGTGAACAACAGGAGTCACTGTGCACTTACTCCTCACTGTAGGATCTCTATCCTTAATGTGCTGTACATTGTGATTTAATGCTATAACTAGTACTCAAACAGTATTCTTCACTTTGTGTTTCTGTGTGGGTGCAAACTGTTGAAATCTTTACTTAATATATGCTAAACTGATCTTCTGTATATAAAGAGAATTGAAAATGAATCTTGATGTGAATGGAAGGGGGGAGGGAGAGGGAAAGGGGAGGGTTGCGGGTGGGAGGGAAGTTATGGGGGGGGAGCCATTGTAATCCATAAGCTGTACTTTGGAAATTTATATTCATTAAATAAAAGTTAAAAAAAAAAGATGCTCCTTGGGATGCCCATGTGTGGGGAGCAACCCGGACTGGACTGAGTTACTGGAATTAAGACTTATTCTATGCATCTGCTCTCCCACAATATGGCGCTGGGAGAGGAGAAAACAGCTTCTACGCAGCTGCCTCTTGCCAACTTGAGTGATGACCTCCAGGAGCTGATCCTGCTCCTGATTGGAGGAGAGCAGCGTACTCGGCGTGTGGGCAGCCGAGTTGGGATTGGTGGAGGAGGACTATAAAGGAGGAGAGAGACAACATGCACCAGGAACATCTAAGGGGAACATCTATCTGAAGGAACACCTGTGCAGCCCCCGAGAGAGCCGGCCAGCGGTGTGCCGCTCCCCCGCGGAAGTGGGGAATGTGGCAGGGGGAACTGCCCTTCCACGGAGGTGGAAGGGACGGTAGCCAACCCGGGAAGAACCAGCAGCAAACCCAGGGAGGGCCAAGCAGACAAAAGAACAGCGCAGGGTCCTGTGTCGTTCCTCCACGAAGACGGGGAGCGACACCCATGTTCCATTTTGGAGTGCCTGGATTTGAGTCCTGGCTCCACTCTTGATTTCAGCTTTCTGAAAATGTGCATCCTGGATAGCAACAGGTGATGACTCAAGTGGTTGGGTATATGCCCACCAACATGGGACAGCTACATAGATCCTGGGCTACTGGCTTCAGCCTGGCCCCGCCCCAGCTATTGCAGGCATTTAGAGAGTGATCCAGAAGATGGGAAATCTCTGTCTGCCTCCCTGCTTGTATCTGTCTTTCTGCCCTTTAAATGATTGGACAAACAACAACAACAACAACAACAACAACAACAAACAGTATAATTTTGCAAGAGCAACCATGGAATACCATCTCAATGTCCTAATTTGACTCCTTTTGACTTCTTTTCATTTCCTACTCTCAAAAAGTCTGTAGAGGGCACCTATTTTCTTCAGCTGTTGGTGCAGAAAAAGGCTACGTGGAGATGGTTAAATTCTCCAGGAGCTGCAGTTCTTTAGGGATGGCCTAATTATCTGGCATCATAGCTTACAAAACTGTTTTGACCTGGATGGAGTTCATGTGGGGTAATATAATTTATATTGTTTCTGTCTTTTAATTTTGTGTTTCCATGAACATTTTGAAGTACTCTCATGTTTCGAAGGCACTAGAATGTTTATGGCTCTTATCTTTTAGGCTGTCTTAACAGAGTTCTCTGAGGAGTCATTTGAGGTTCTGTAAGATGTTAAAGTTTATTGTTGGCAGAGTGCATCACACTACTCTCACTGTTTTCTGCCCACCTGCAGAAGGTGACAGATAGCTAATCCTTTGCAGGTAGAAGATGTTAGGTGACCATGGGAATTAGGTAGGAGGAATTCTTCTTTATTGTTATGTTAAAAGTGAACAAACAAAATCACATTATATTTTTGCCATTTCTCTAAATTAATGTTATTGTCCTATTTTATCCCAGTGGTTAGAGAAAGAAGTTGCACTCTGCTTACCTCTTATTTCCCTCCCTTCTCCTAATTGCTAAATGAATTTCTACTCATTTTATCTCCCTTTATGAGCTATGTGTGTGTGGGGGGGGAGCAGTTTTCCTTGATTTTCTAAGGCTGGAGGGCACTGCCTTATGCTATACCACTTTAGCATCTTCTTCTATTTAGCGTTCATCACACACAATTATTTATTTCTGAAGTTATTTATTTATCTGTCTTCCCAGTGTACAGCATCTTAATGAATACCAAGGCCAACTCTTCTTAGTCTCATTATAATCCCCAGTGACCACTCCCCATTACATTCTCAGTTAAGGATTCAGAGTGACTAATGTTTCAATCTAGGGTCTTTTCTCTTG